TGTAGTTTTGTAGAAGAAAGGAGGACTGATGGTTCTGGACCGTCAGAACCTTCCCAGCTTCATCGATGACACTCAACGTAAAATAAAACAACATCTCTAACATGACAGGGAAGACCTGTTATTAAGGTGTGAAACTCTGGAGATTAACCAATGAGAGCGTCACCTTTAACTGAACCAGAGTGAAGGTTTATGAATGAATGAATGAATGAATTTTCAGGTTATTGAGATTAAAGTCAGAGAGTCTTTAAAACACAGAAACGTGCAGAAATGAGTGATTAGGTTCAGGAGGCAGTTAGTGTGTGTGTGTGTGTGTGTGTGTGTGTGTGTGTGTGTGTGTGAGTGTGTGAGTGTGTGAAGTATTCTTCCAGTAAACGTGGCTGCAGAGGCTGACACGGTGTTTCCAGGAAGTGCTGACATTTTAATAGCACTGTCCTGTGTGTGTGTGTGTGTGTGTGTGTAATGTACCTTTAAGTACACAGGTTGCATACATTATTCCTTGGCCTGTTCCTGTATTGAGTTAAATATCGTGTCTCCTCTGCTGGATGAATCTGTTGTGAAGAGAGAAAAACAGACAAAGAGAAAGTGAAGAAAACATCTGAGAGGAAAAGGTCCAACATCTATTTAATTTAGGGTTGGGTATCGTTTGATTTTGCATGATTCCGATTCCTCGTTTCGATTCGAGACTCGATACCCAACCCCAATTTATTGATTTATTTATAATTCTGAGAGAAAAGTCTTTTTCCTCTCAGAATAATAAATAATAATAATAAAAATAGATGTGGGAGTGTTCAGGTTAGTTTAATTTAATCTGTGGATTAATGTGAAAATGTGTTTCTTCAGGTCTGTCAGTGAATGAAACGTGTCTGTGTGCGTTTTTATGACTGACAGTCTTTTACAATGGGGAAGGAGGGGTCTCAGTTTTAATACTTTAGTCCAGACAGTATTAGTACATACAGTTGTATTAGTACATACAGTTGTACTAGAATATATGGGTGTGTTGGTACATACAGGTGTATTAGTACATACAGTTGTATTAGTACATACAGTTGTATTAGTACATACTAGTGTATTAGTACATACAGTTGTATTAGTACATACTAGTGTATTAGTACATACAGTTGTATTAGTACATACTAGTGTATTAGTACATACAGGTGTATTAGTACATACAGTTGTATTAGTACATACTAGTGTATTAGTACATACAGTTGTATTAGTACATACAGGTGCATTAGTACATACAGTTGTATTAGTACATACAGTTGTATTAGTACATACTAGTGTATTAGTACATACAGTTGTATTAGTACATACTAGTGTATTAGTACATACAGTTGTATTAGTACATACAGTCGTATTAGTACATACTAGTGTATTAGTACATACAGGTGTATTAGTACATACAGTTGTATTAGTACATACTAGTGTATTAGTACATACAGTTGTATTAGTACATACAGTTGTATTAGTACATACTAGTGTATTAGTACATACAGGTGTATTAGTACATACAGTTGTATTAGTACATACAGGTGTATTAGTACATACAGTTGTATTAGTACATACTAGTGTATTAGTACATACAGTTGTATTAGTACATACAGTTGTATTAGTACATACAGTTGTATTAGTACATACTGGTGTATTAGTACATACAGGTGTATTAGTACATACAGTTGTATTAGTACATACTAGTGTATTAGTACATACAGGTGTATTAGTACATACAGGTGTATACAGTTGTATTAGTACATACAGTTGTATTAGTACATACAGGTGTATTAGTACATACAGTTGTATAAGTACATACAGGTGTATTAGTACATACAGGTGTATTTGATTGACAGATAACTGGTTCAAAGCTGCAGGTCCGTCTGCTGCTTTGCTCAATAACATCTTATGAGTTAGGAGACGATAAACGTTTCTGTGTGTCTGACTCTGTCTGCTGATCCCTGCTGGACGATTGATTGTCTGTGTGTGTGTGTGTGTGTGTGTGTGTGTGTGTGTGTGTGTGTGTGTGTGTGTGTGTGTGTGTGTGTGTGTGTGTGTGTGTGTGACATATAGCAGACAGTGTGGGTTTGTTTGATAACAGCTCTCTGCTTAAACTGACAGCAGTGTCTGAAATATGAGACCTCTTCTCACCACAGTGTGTGTGTGTCTGTGAGTGTGAGTGTGTGTGTGTGTTTGTGTGTGTGTGTGTGTTTGTGTGTGTGTGTGTGTGTGTGCATAAGTTTAAGTCTGAGTGTGTGAAGATGAATGAATGAGTGTGTGTGTTTATGTTGTCTGTGTTTTTTAACAGACAACAGAGACGTTCACTTCCCTGTAAACTCCGACTGTTTGTTTGTGTGGCTGTTAACACACACTCCACCTTCACATGTGTGTGTGTGTTTGTGTGTGTGCGTGCGTGCGTGCGTGCACGTTTTTGTGTATGTGTTTGCTATGTTAGCCATTATACAGACGTCCCTCAGTTCCTCCCAGCTGTGTGTGTTTTCTCCAGGTCATACTTACACAACTCAGTGTGTGTGTGTGTGTGTGTGTGTGTGTGTGTGTGTGTGTGTGTGTGTGTGTGTGTGTGACTCAGGTCTAAACTTTCTGCTCAGTTGTCTGTGTACGTCAGCTCAGAGTCTGTAGATCAAAGAGTCCTCCCAGGGCTGACCGAACAGAAAACTGTTTTTCTCTGTTTTTTTTTCTATTTTTCTATTTTTTTATTATTTCTTGTTTTTTTGTTTTTTGTTTTTGTATTCTTGTATTTGTTTTTTTTTTGCTTTTTGTATTTTTGTGTTTTTGGTTTTCTGTTTTCGCATATTTTATGTGTTTTGTGTTTTTTGTGTTGTTTTTTTTTTAATTCTTTTTGGTTTGTTTTTTGTGTTTTTGTTTTATTTTTTTTGTGTGTGTTTTTATATTTCTATTTTTGCATGTTTTTGTGTGTTTTATAATTTTTGTTTTTTGTGTTTTTGTATTTTTTTATTTTTGTGTTTTGGTTTTTTGTGTTTTTTTGTTATCTTTTTTTTCTATTTCTCCATTATACAGAATAAACAGTTGTGTTTCTTTGATGGGGGTTTCTCCCCAGTCAGTGTCTCGGTGTCAGAGCTCTAACGTGTGCTTGTGTATGTGTGTGTTTCTGTTTGTGTGTTTCTGTGTGTGTGTGTGTGTGTGTGTGTGTGTGTGTGTGTGTGTGTGTTTGTTTCCCACTTCCTCATGTGACTCACCTGGTGACATGACGCTGTGACATCACAGCAAGACCATTTAAAGGGCAGGTGCTCTCGGTCCGTCTCTCTCAGTCTCTCCTCCTCCTCTGTAGTGAGTTAATGTTTTTTTCTGGCTGTTGTGTAAATGTTGTCGCTCCCCCTCTGCTAAGGTAAGACCGACCTGCTGCTCTGTGAGACGTCTGCTCTCTTTTACTCTATAGTCCAGACGTCTTGAATATCTGTTTCAAAAACACGTGTTTACGGTCTTTTCTCTTTGCTCTTTAATTTGACATAAAAGTTCAGATGTTATTTTTATGACAGTAATTACAGCCTTTTTTGACACAGGTGAACTCTTTTAAGAGTCCTGCTGCAAAAATATATAAATATAAGGGCTGGGCGATTTGGGAAAAAGTTTATCACAATCTATTGATTTCATATCAGCTGATATGGATCAATATCAGGATCTAAAAATCTAACAGTGTTTCTTGGTCTCATGTCTTTTCCAACACAATAATCTCCTGCATCTGTGAGGTCTTTGTGTCTCTTTGGCGTTTTGTCGTAAGGCGTCGCTCTAGAGAAAGCCGACTGAACGGTCGTCTGTTTCAGGCGCCACGGGCTCCTCGCTCCTCTCGGGGTTTGTAACCTTTTGCGTTGCGCGTGCTCTGCGGCGTGGCGCTGCTTCAGGTGGTGAAAAAGATTTGAGGTATTCCCCGACTTTGTGAGAACATGTACTCGACATAATTTACAGTCCACATTACTCTGCTTCATGTCCGACCTCCAAAAACCAAAATACCTCCACACCACCGACGTTTTCCTAACGCCAGTGTTGTGGTTGACATTGATGTGGTCATCTGTTGAGCCTTCATGGTCATTTCTGTCGGGGGTAGCACTCATTTTCTTTGTTTCTCACCAACAGTGCTGTCGGCTTCACCTGTTAAAGTGCTATGGTTGGGTGGAGCTGCTGTCTGCTACGACGCTGCAGTTGGTTGATACTTGGTTCTAATTCAGAACATGATTGGTTCAGACCCGGAGACACTCCCCTTTTCATTGGCTGTTCGTATAGTCGACCAAAACATGTCAGAATGACGACTATTGAAAAGGATATTGATCATGTTTTATATTGATAATGAGGGAAATTAATTTCCGATATATATCGTTATGGTTTTATCGCCCAGCCCTAACAGGTAAAAACTTGGTTGTAAAGGCTTTTTTAGTGATGGACTAAATGACCAATCTCCCAGAATCATGAGTCAGATCCTGGTGGAAATACCTGTAAGAATATTCTTTAATTATCCTGCTGTCTTCATTGTTAAGCTGCTCCATAAGTGGAAAGTCCGTCAGACTGATTGGATGGTTAAAATCGTCTTTTCTCTGTTTGTTTTCCTGTTGTTTTCTCACTTTGGCCCCTCCTGTCAGATGATAGAGAAGCACATGGATGAAGCAGCTGCTGATCAGAATTCAGCTCAGCAGAAAGTCTGATCCTCCGTCAGTGGTCTCATGTTTCTGAAGAGTCTGAAATGATTAAAGTCACATATTCAGGAGGAAAAACCCGGTCTGGGTCCCTCGGTCTCCTTTGTTTGCTCCTGACTGTAGGGGGATTTTTCCTGCAGGAGTGTCGTGTTTGTTTTGGTGTGAGCGCAGAGGAAATAACAGCATACTTGATTTTACCGGAGGAGAGGACTGGTGCATCATGGGAAAGTTTTGAGCGCTTGATTGAATTTTTTATTTCAGTCATGGTGAATAATTTAGTCGGCTTTATTTATGACTACAGGATAATGCATCCAGGCAGAGCAGGCCTGAGATAAAACACAGAGGATCACAGCTGCAGTCAGAGGACCGAGTCTCCAACCAAGTCTTACCTGCAGGGTCAGGACTCTGCAGGGTCAGGAGGACTCTGCAGGGAGAGAGTCTCCGGACTCTGAGCCGTCATGTTCTTTAAAGAGGAGGAGTTTCTGTAGATGCAGAGTCATGAAAACACAGCAGCTGTAATAATGAGAGGATATAAACCCGACATTAAAGTTTAATCAATCGCAGAGTTTGACACGCACACGCACACACACACACACATGCACACACACGCACGCACGCACACACACACACACACACACACACACACACGTCCTTTGTCAGGGTCAGCAGAGGAACAGATCAGGTAACGTTTCCTCAGGTGTTTCTAAGATCAGTCAGAAAGTTCCCCATCCGTGTGTTTGTGTGTTTGTGTTTGTGTGTGTTTGTGTGTTTGTGTTTGTGTGTCTGTGTGTCTGTGTGTCTGTGTGTTTGTGTGTTTGTGTGTTTGTGTTTGTGTGTTGCTCTCTTCAGTGAAGTTCTGACCCAGATAGACCCTCCTGTTGGGCATTTAGCAGAGCAGGTTAGCCTGCTGTGTGTGTGTGTGTGTGTGTGTGTGTGTGTGTATACATCTGTGATTTTGTGTGTTTTTGAGGCAGGGTGTCGTGGCAAAGGCGGTAATTAAATGTCCCTCAGTTCCTCCCAGCTGTGTGTGTTTTCTCCAGGTCATACTTACACAACTCAGTGTGCGTGTGTGTGCGTGTGTGTGCGTGTGTGTGCGTGCGTGTGTGTGTGTGTGTGTGCGTGTGTGTGCGTGTGTGTGTGTGTGTGTGTGTGTGTGTGTGTGTGTGTGACTCAGACCTACACTTTCTGCTCAGTCGTCTGTTAGTCAGCTCAGTGTTTGTAGATCAAACAGTCCTCTCACTGCTGACCGAACAGAAACTTGTTTTCTTGTGATTTAGCATTTTCATGTTTCTGTATTTTTGTATTTTTTTTTGGTATTTTAGTTTATTTGTATTTTTTCTTTTTTATGTCTTCATTTTTGTGTTTTTTGTAATTTTTTTTACTTTTTGTATTTTATTTTTGTAGTTCTATGGTTTTGTTTTATTTTTGTATTTTTGTGTTTTTGTTTTATTTTTTATTTTTGTGTTTCTGTATTTTTGTGTTTTTGTATTTTTGTCATTTTTATGTTTTTTTTACATTTTTTGTAATATTTTTGTGATTTTGTATTTTGTGTTTTTTTGTATTTTTGTGATTTTGTATTTTGTGTTTTTTTTGTATTTTTGTGATTTTGTATTTTGTGGTTTTTTTTTTTTGTGATTTTGTATTTTGTGTTTTTTTTGTATTTTTGATGTGTTTTTGATGTGTTTTTTTGTTACAGATAAAGTCACACTTTGTTTTGATGGTTTGTTTTTCTCTCGGTCCATCAGCCCGCTCGGTTTTCTTGATCACCTGGTCGGTTCTTACCTGTGAGCGTCTCTGTGGATTCAGCTGAACGATTGTGTTTCATCCTCTTGTATAAAAGTTAACGGGTAGATTTTGGTCTCTGCTCTTATTTTTGTTCATCCTTCACAAACAAAGTTTTTCGCACCCTTGTAAAAGTGTCTGCTGAATGCTTGCCTGTGATTGGTTCATCTTCCTGCTGCTAACTCGTCTGTTCTGTGATTGGTTGATGCAGGAGCAGCCAGCTGCAGCGTAGCTTAAGATGTCTGATAATGGGGAGGTCGAGGACAAGCCCCCAGCTCCACCCATGAGGAACACCAGCACCATGATTGGCTCCTGCAACAAAGACCCCGCCCCCCTCAACCATGGCTCCAAGCCCCTCCCACCAAACCCAGAAGACAAGAAGAAGAAAGACCGCTCCATCAGATTCATCCTGACAGGAGGAGGCGATAAAAGTGAGAACTTAGATCTGAGTGTTTCAAAGAGTCCGAATAACTGTGTGAGATTGAACAGGAGCGGGTTCGGGTCAGGGTTCTGTGACGACGGCGTGTCTGGAGCACGCTCAGAAACTTTCAGTGTTTTTGTAGTTAAATGAAGCAGAATTACATCCACGGCTTTTTCTTCATCAGGTCTGATCTGAATCACAGCAGCGGTTAAAAGAAGTTAAAATGACCGTATTTTCATCCTCAGAATTCAGTCGATGAATGTCGACAAACACACCTCCACCTCCACCTCCACCTCCACGTCAGTCTGGCCTTATTGTGTCAAACAGCTGTGAGAGTTTCAGGAGCTGAATCCAACTCACTCCACCGTCTCTGAACCTCCTCTGAAGTCTGTTTATCTTTTTTATAACACGAGTTACTAAGAGCTAAAATACTGTTATACAATTATAATCTGGATAAACCTTCAATATGTCTGCAGGAGTCAGAGATGAGTGGATAAAGAGCGAGGTTTAAAGTCTGCTGTTCTTCACTGAAGTTTGTCAGAGTCAATGAGAGCTCTGAACTGAGACAGAGATGAGAGAGACGATGACTGTGACAGCTGCAGCCTTCCCTCTGTTTTGTGCAGTGTTGTTTTCGTCAGG